GCGCTCTGCGCACCCCGCACCCGAGGTTTCCGCCCCGGCGCGGAGAGGAGCGCGGCGCGCACACACAACGCCTCTTAAAGGCTCCGCGAGAGGCTTCGGATGCAATCAAGGACTTCGCCTCTCGCAACTTGGCGATGCCACGAAATCCGCCGCTCGCGCACCACCCGGGACTCCCGGCGCGTCTTTGTGCCCACGGTGCCAGAGAAAGAGAAAAGTTCCCAGCTTTCTTTACAGACAGGGCTAGCGAGTGGCGGTGGGGAGGTGCCACGAACCGAGCCTGCAAGGCGTTTTTCCACGCGAAAGATTTGGCCAGATCCGGGTGACGGCGGACCCTTCTCTGAATCGACTCGGATCACTCGCTCGGTTTAGGGGCCCGTTTATTTTTTGAAGAGGGGGGAAAAAAGCCGCTCAGAGTCTGTCTTTTTCCTCGTAGGGTTCACATGGCACAGGTATGTGGCCTGACATGTGAATCGCTCTAATAAAGCATCTCGGATGCTGAGAAGTGGAAGTGGGCTACATCTCATGGTCATGATGCAATTAAAATCAGTTTTCCTCAACTTTATCCTCTCTCGTTGGTTTTGGCGAACTCGCAAGCCAGCGTCCTGCCACACGCTCGGTCGTGGTGAGACGGGAAAACACCGATCTGTCCACTGACGGACAAGCAGAGGCAGCCTCCCGGCCTCCCCCGTGCATACCCCCTGAACACACATGTAAACGCACAAGTATCAGATGCATATTTGTCAATGTACGCAGACAAAGACTTCAGCGACCGTGCTTCTAGGTCAGAGAACAGCTGAGTGCGGACTTCATTGTCCCTCAAGTTTCTTCAAAGTATTCATATTGTCATTAAAACACAACCAGAGATTCTGCCCCAAATTGGGAATCATACCGGACAACTCGCAAGAACCACACAGCAGCCATGTTCTACCTCAAGAAATTCACTGCAATACCACCAACTTCATAGCCTCTGCCATTCTGCTCAATGGTCTAAAATCTTTCAGAGGGTTGTGTCTCTGAATTCCAAAGCACTGAGTTTTAAACATCAAGCATCTAACGTTGACCCCCTCCCCAAATACACTGTATTCAAATGCGGTAACCTTTCTGTTTGATTAGGACAAGTTAGTGGGTTGTGATTATTCCACATACACAGAAGAAAATTGTGACTCCGGCATACGCACTTTGCACCAAGAAAAAAATTGTGAGCTGGTAAGCCAAGCAGGTTTGTGAACAACTAAAATATTTTGTACATAAAACACCCCGAGCTGCAGGAAATATGAACACATTTAAACAGTAATTAACGACACAGGAAAGCGTCCTCGATAGTTCAAAAAATGGAGGAGATGAAGGATTTTTAAAAGAACATAAACCATATGTTACATTGACATGTGTAGATTGCATTTTGCATTCGATATCCTTTACAGACACAGGCAGCATACAAGGTAGAGCCTAAGTGGACATGTAGGCAGACGGGGGCTAGTATTTAGGGATGGAGAAATCCTCTTTCTGCTTCATTTCTGAAACCTTAGCTCTCACCCTTGCTCCGCTAAAAATCACATATTTCAGGAAAGCTGCAGGTACTGGGATTATTTGAAAGTCATAAAAGACAAACGCATAGTGGACACTGAACTATCATAAACCTAGTGAGTAATGAGATCTCCACAGAGCCAAGCCAGGCTGAAAATTTCAGGTTGATTAGAGACACAATACAACTTTCTCCTAAAGAGAACAAGAAGGATGGAAAAGAAATTATTTCAGGGAGGGTTTTCAGCCTCTATGATTCGAGAAATTGCCTAATGCTACAAATATCAGTAGATTAGAGGCAAGCTGAGCAGAGATGTTGTAGGGCTGGGTCGAAATAGGAAGTCTGATGTCAGTCCCCATCTCAATGGAATAGAAGATAGAATAATTGATTACAGGGAAATGTTGATCTCGCCTCTTGTACAGACACTTCCATGGCCAGATCGCCTTTTACAAACATACGGTGGGGAAGATTTTCAGGAGGAAGAGGGTTCCCCAGTCCATTGAGAGATATTTGGGATTTGAAGTCTGCTCTGATGGCCTCAGATTTAAAATGAAGAATTTCCCAGCCGCCTTCAACAGAGACAGTGGAGCCCGCTAGGCACACGACCACAGAGCTGCCGTGAAGTCAGTGGTGTCTCGTTTTGTATTTTAGGACTCATTCATAGTTTTGCAGATGCTATTAAAAAGCAAATAAATAAATAATAAATAAATGTATCAACCGTAGTTAATTTTACTGCGTAGAAGGAGGCCTGCAGACCGAGAAGAAAAAAAGAAACAATATTTTTAAAAGTCTCCTTTAGAGACACTCAAGGAAATTTTCCTTGAATAAAACAGCCCCAAGACTGATAAAGATCAATATATTGTTACAGGTAAAACAACAACAACAACAAAAAACCCCCCCCAAACAACAACAAACCATTCGACCCAGCCTTTTATTGCAGATGTAAATTTATTTTAATGAGAAGAATGGCAAGCTTTAATTTGGCCCGAGAAAGTTGGGAACACATTTGTCTTCCTCTGGGAATTAAAAAGCAAAGAAAACCCATCCAAGAATAGGAGTTTCTTACAGACAGTGGCCTGAAGGTTATCATTCCTCACAGATTAAGCCACGATGTGAATACAGAGCCCAGCAAATACCGAGTTTAACTCTGAACTCAGTAGAAACCAGTTCTGTCTCCCAGGACTCATTGAATTCCTCCCTTCCCTCAGTCCAGCCCGTGTGTGTGTGTGTGTGTGTGTGTGTGTGTGTGTGTGTTTCTCTTCCAGCACACTGGTGGTTCCTTGAATAGGAAAAAGGGGCTCCTATTGTGTCCCATCGAACTTCCAAGTCAATGCAATTTTTAACCACTGGCTTGTGGTACTTTGAAAATCACCAGGGGCTGTCAGAGTTGGGTCCTCTGAAAAATTTACAGTGCTAAATCAGAGCATATGCTGGGAGGGAAAAAAAAAAAAATCGCTTAAGATTGGAGCAAGTACAGTATCGGTCTGCCCCCTAGTGTAAGAGTCCTCGCTGCCTAAAATTCAACTTTAAAAGAAAGGAAGCCCTTAAAGGGAAAGGACTTAAGGCTCACGTAGGCACAGGCGAATGAAACTTCTGTACATTTTAATCTGAATAATGCTCCGGGATTTAAAATTAATTGGCTCTGGCTTGGTTGGACCGGCCCGGATCTCCCCACCTCTTGCATTTCCCAAGTCACGGGCGGAGAGGTGATGCTTCCCCCCCACCCCACCCCCCCCTGAACTGGGTTTATGTGCGTCTCCCCTCACCCCCTCCTCTCTTTTTTTTTTCTTTCTCTGTCTCTGTCGTCTCTCTCGCTGGCTTTTTAAAAAAAATGAGGAACCGTTCCTTGAACGTTCTGGACAGAGCCCAGATTGCTCCTTAAGTCAGCCCGCCGCGGTTGCGATAGACAGCAAAAAGGTAAACGTTTGCCTGAAATCCGCGCGCCAGCTCCTCCGCCCCGCCCGATGGTGAGTACCCTTGTCGTTGCGATTGTCCTCCTAGCTTAACCGGGCGCTCGGCTCCCGGGGCCGCGGCCGAGGGCTCCGGGAGCCGCTGGCGACCCTCCCTGCCTGGCTGGCTGTCAGTTGCACAAGGTTGCAAGATGCAGCTCGGCGGCAAATCGAACAGTAAATTGTTGAGACTTAGTGCGAGCCTAGCGGCTCCTTTGCTAGAGGATCGAGTCGTCTACCGCTCGGAAAAAAAAGACGCTTTAGAGGACTGGTTTGCAGTTGGCTCTATCGGAGGCATGAGTTTGAGCAGACAGGACGAGGAGAGGGAGGCACCGCAGGCTTTCTGCTCCGGTTTAATCATATTTTGGCAGCTTTGCAATTGTATTTC